TGTTGTAGGTGCACCGGGGTCCTTAAACTTTGGCAAAGTGTTATATTGTAGAATGGAACTCACTTGTTCGGTTAAGACCACTTTCTTTGATGTTTGGCTCTTGTTCTTCCGCTTTTGGGTGCATAAGTCCTTCAAGAATTTGGCATAAGCCGGAATTTGCTTAATTGCATCCAAAAGTGGAAGATTGACTTTGACTTGCCTAAACATATCCATTATCTCATTGTTCTTTGTCTTTTGCCTTTCTTTTGAAATGGACCCTTTCAAGGCGTCCGGAAATGGAGTTTTTTCAAAAACTCTTTCAGCATTTTCTTTCAAAAAATTCTCAGCATTGGACTTGTTCAATTCATTGGATTTCAAATCACTTTTCAAAGAAGAATTATGAATAACATTTTTCAAAGAACTTTTCTCAAACACATTTTTCAACACTGTTTTCAATGAATCTCTTTGGAAATCATCTTTCAACTCACAGTTTGAGGGCTTCTCATTCTCAAGATCATGCACATGCAATGAAGGAGGAATAGTGTGTGGAACGGGACGGGTGACAACTTGAGGTTGTACCGATTCACTCTCTTCATTAGGCATTCTAACTTGATTGTCTACTACCCTACCACTTCTCAAGGTTGTTACCGCATTGACATGCTCAACATTATGCCCTTCCAATGCGGATTTGGTTTCTACAACACATTGTTGTTTGATTGGGGCATTCATGTGCATCTTTCCCTTCTCTCTAGCATTAAGTGTTTCAGCTATTTGCCCTACTTGGGTTTCTAGCTTGGCAATTGATTGAGAATGAGAATGCAACAATTAAGTATTTGCTTCTAGAGTGCCCAAAGCATTTAAAACCTTTTCCACAAAAGCGGAACCTCTAGAATTTCCTTGAGAATATGATTGGTTAGGAAAATGAGAATTAACAAATTAATTTCCTTGTGAGTTATATGGTCTTGAACCTTGGGATCCTTGGTTTTGAAGTGGAGGTGGAATGTATTTCCCTTGAAAACCGCCTTGGGAAGAGTTCGAGCCCTCCCCTTGGTTTTTCCAAGAAAAATTAGGATGATTCCTCCAACCGGGATTGTAATGGTTACCATAAGGATTGTTCCCTTGGTTCACAAATGTTGCATTAACTTGCTCAATGGGTTCATTTTAAATTTCTCCATGAGGACAATTAGAAGTAGAATGAAGAACACTAGAACAAGTCATACATGATTCATTTTGAGCTCTAGGAGAATGGTTAGGAAAGGAAGACACTTGATTCGCCAAGTTTTGATTGATCAATTGATCAAACTTTTGAGATAAAGACTTCATCTTGGCGGTTATATCATTTGAGTGGTCAACTTGATGCAAGCCAACACTCTTCCTACCTTGAGAATTTCTACCATTCCTAGATGACAATGTTTTATGCAAAGAGTTTTCACTCATGCTCTCATAAAGGCGCCACACGTCTTCCTTTTGCCGGTCTATATAAGAACCTCCCATTGAAGCATCAACCATGCCTTTATAATTGTCTAATAAGCTTTCAAAGAAGAATTGGACCAATTGCCATTTAGGCATGTCATGGTGAGGACACTTCCTAAGCAATTCATTGAAGCGTTCCCATGCCTCGTGGAAAGTTTCTCCCTCCCCATGTGTGAATTCTCTAATGGCGGTTCTCATAGCATTGGTCTTAGAAACCGGATAGTACTTTTTCAGAAATTCTTATTGCATTTCTGCCCAAGAAGTTATAGAAAAAGGCCTAAGGTTGTTAAACCAATACTTCGCCTTATCTTTAAGGGTGAATGGAAAAAGTTTCAGCCTTAAAACTTCTTTCGGCATGTCCGTGTATCGAACGGTAGAACAAACTTCAAGAAACTCATCCAAATGCTTGTAAGGTTCTTCACTAGGAAGTCCATGAAAGTTAGGTAGCATTTGGATAGTTTGTGCTTTAATCTCATAATGGTGTGCTCTAAATAGTGGCAATTGAATGCATGTGGGTGCATTATACTCATTAGGCACATAGTGATCTCTCAATGCGAGTGGTGGATTAGCAACTTGAGGTGCAACATGGACACCTTGGTTATATTGAGCTTGATTAATGATGGGGGGTTGTGGTGCATACATTGGCCTTGGAATTCCCATTGGAATTGGCCTTGTTGTTGAGGAGGTTGATGAATGTATGGCCTAGGCATGCCTAATGGAACTTACATATTATCATTCTGCACATTAGGATGAAGGATGCCTTGTTGGTCTATGTGACCAAGGTCTTCAACATGATCATCATTGAGAGCGTCCATTGGTAGATTGGTTCTATGTGAACTTCCTCTTCCCCTTGGATTCCTAATAGTGGATTCTAAATGCAAATCAAGAAGGACAAGAGTAGGTCTCAATGAACGACGACCATGCATGCACAATGCAACACGAATAAGCAACTTTCTCAACAATGCAATTAAACTTCACAACCACAATTTTTAAATGCAATGTATGTCAAATAAATGCCTCCACGTGGGCCCCCGATTTATCTAATGATGCTATGCAATGCCTCCACGTGGGCCCCCGATTTAACTAAAGAGATTGAGTAAGAAGGTCTCACAATAGTCCTTTAGCACTTCAACTCCAAAATTAAAAGCTTAGCTTAGCAATTTTACTTAACAATTTTTCATTTTAAGCATTTTTCCTTTGCTTTGCTTTGCTCCTTAGCTTGGAATTACTTTGCTAGCTCCTTGCTCAATACACCTAGTCAATGGAGAACAAACTTAATAAGTAATAAAAAAAAAATAGGAAATAAAAAGAAAGTAAAGACACGATCAAAAGAGTACTAATCCTAATTGAATTTCACAATTCGACGTTGCCAATTTAAAATCCCCGGCAACGGCGCCAAAAACTGACCGGTCCTTTACAAGGGTCACGATACCAAGTCAAGCTTGAAGAGTTGTGAATTTAGGAGGTGGCCAAGTTTTACATTTATAGAAAGCCACTACTACCTTTCTCTATATAAAATATAGATAGGGCGAGTAGGGATCGTCCCAAGGGATTAGATGGTGTATTGAATTGTAAAACTATGGTAATTAGGGTTAGTAGGTCGAGTGATCACACAATTGATTAGTTGGTTGATTAAGCTAAATTGAATTCAACTAAATAAAATAATATGAAGTAAACAAGAGAGAGAGAGGTCTTGGGGTGTAGAGATCACCGCTAAGCAATACTTTTCTATACTACTAACAAGTGATCAATTGAGGGTAATGGATGTGTTGCAATATGATAAGGGTGTGTGTGCATTAGGTTGATTCAATTGGCAAGGATGACAAATCAAGCAAATATTGTCTAAACATCATGTGAAGAGCACAATATATCTAAACAATAGAGCATATATTGTCTAGACAACATGGGGATAGCACAATAGATCAAAACAAGTCATTAATCCTTCATTAAGCTCACAATCCACATACAACACAATATTAGAGGAATATGTCATTTGGACTCACAAGCATGGAACATCAAACATCAAGAGTAGATTGTCCTCCCATCTAACATTACACTACCACTACACTAAATCTACACTACTAGCATGAAAATAAAGCTATCTAGACTAGGAGAGAGGCACAAACCATTAAGAATAGGCATAAACCATCAAATGAACCAAAATAGCATTCATTAAGCATATCATCTTGATAATATCTAGATCTATAGCATCAATACACATAGACATGCATCAAAAACACTAAATCTAGGGATAAGCACATGAATATCCTACTCTAGCATACATAGACATATGGATAGAATAGAATAGTCAATTGGAAGCATTAAACCATACAAACCATGAAATAATCAAGATTTATATATACATGAATATCAAGATGTATCATACAACACTAATCCCTCAATAATACACAAGATTAGAGTATAGAAAGCATGCTTGGGGCTAACTCTAGCCCCAAGAGGATGTCTAGCCACTCATGGTAGTGATGATCCAACCCTCAAGGGCTAACTCCATGGCTGCTCCTTGTTGGTGAAGATCTCCTCCAATGGTGCTCTAGCTTCCCTCCTTCCTCCTCTTCAAGAAGAGCCTCTAAGATCAATTTTCAATGTGTAACAAGAGACTCCCTCAAAAAGTGTATCATATTCCTTATATAGGTAGGTCAAATACACCCCATGATGAGCTGTGGTCGTGCAAGGCATATTCTCCAATCATTTGATGAAGGACGGAATAAATGAGCTGGACTTTAACTTTTTCTCGCTGGAGGAAGTTTGATCGATCGAACCTTAACTTGGATCGATCGAAAATGGGTTCGATCGATTGAAGTGGTCTGACTCCTCCGGATAATGACAAGGCTGGGATATTTTCAAGATATTTATGGGGAAAAAGACAAAAGTGGTTGGTAGGCGTACAGCTGTGGATAAGATAAATCATTTGAATAGGACAAAATAGGGTTCGATCGATCGAAGGTGATGTTCGATCGATCGAACTTGGAATTTCAGCAAAGGCCAAGGTTGGATCTATCGAGAAGTACTGTGATCGATCATAGATGTTCGATCAATCGAACTCTAAGTTGGATCGATCGAACTTTTCAGCTGCACAACTTGATTCCTTTTTGCTCCTTTCTTTCTCCGCTTTGCTCCCTCCTTTGGTTTATCTCAGGATTGCTTCAATTAAGCTCTTATTTGGCTGAGTTAGCTAAATTTTGGGATTAGTGTCTGAAAATATAAATAACATGTAATAAGTCTAAAACGGCAAAGTAAGATAGATAAAGGTACTAGAATGCTTAAGCTTAACGGGTTTAAATGCGCACTTTTCAGTGCTCATCAACTTTATGTGGCTATATGGTATGGAGGGACTTGGTTGATAGTGGGTGGTCTAGTGGAAGGATGCACATGCGCACCTGTAGCATACGTGTCTCCATAGATGGTGGTCATCTAGTCAAAATGCTTACATCCCTTCCTTCGAAACTTTTTTGCACCCCTATTCACCTACAAATTATTATCCTATTATTAATATGAAGTAAAACCTACATTTGTATATACCAGATAGATTAACTTTCACTACTAACCTTTATCAACCTATCCCATCTTTCAGGTTCAAGTATAACCATGCATGTCTTAGCATTGTATCCAACACCTATTTTTGATAACAATTTTGCCAAGTCTTTGTAGTCTGCCCTCAACTGGTTGAATTTATTCCTAAGTTGGTTCTTTGTAAAGTTCTTCCCTGTTTGAAGCCTCATGCCTTCTACTAAATTCTTCCAACCAATAGTGTTAAAAGTTCCAGAAGTATGATTACCTAGCCTCACTTTTTCCTCTATAAGGATAATGAAATTTTCAATATGAGAGTCATCCCATACTACTTTTCCATCATCGGTAATGTCTGTAAGGTCGTCTAATGGAACCATATTCTCATCATTCACATCCATCTAATTGATCATCTTAATTTAAAGTTAGATTTTAGTATAACTTTTGGTACGAATATACTCTTCACTAATGTGACGTTCCGAATTTTCACAAACCCGGATGTGTCAATGTGACCCGAAAGTTGACCCGATAACGGATCCGGAATGCAGAAGTGAAAACAATGGAAACAAAGTTCCTAGAGGTAAACGGCATCCCAAGAACGCTATAGTGACTTTCCACTAAGTCGCGGAGTTTAAAAGAAAACAAAATACGGAAGCAAAATTTAAAAAAAAAAAAAAAAAAAAAGGGATAATTTTAGCCCTAGGGGCAAAATGGTAATTTATAAAATGTTATTGGTGCTACCGAGCACACCATTGGATAGAAAATGAAAAATTAATGAAATTAGCTCAAGAATCACGTGATTCGGAGTTCGGACGAAAGAGAACGGTCAAAAAAAAAAATGGGCGTCGCCGCAGCCAAGGGGCACCAGGGCCAAGCCCCCTGCGAGCGCGCTCCCATGCGCTTGCAGCACGTGTGGACTTGGCCCTGGTGCTCCTTGGCTGCGGCGACGCCCATTTTTGTTTTTGACCGTTCTCTTCCGTTCGGACTCCGAATTACGTGATTCTTGAGTCTAAATTCATTAATTTTTCATTTTCTATCCAATGGTGTGCTCGGTAGCACCCATAACTTTCTAGAAATTACCATTTTCCCCTATGGCTAAAATTATCCCTTTTTTAAAATTTCGCTTCTGCATTTTGTTTTCTTTTAAACTCTGTGACTTCATGGAAAGTCACTATAATGTTCTTGGGATGCCATTTACCCCTAAGAACCTTGTTTTCTTTGTTTTCGCTTCCGCATTCCGAATCCGTTATCGGGTCAACTTTCGGGTCACATTGACACATCCAGGTTTGTGAAAATTCGGAACGTCACAGGTGGTATCAGAGCATCTCATGTTCTGATCGTCACAGGTGGTATCAGAGCATCTCATGTTCTGATCGTCATAACTAATATACGACACTGTGTGTGGGTGCATTTTTAACAATCTCAAATATATAACTACTCATGTGTGTGTGTAAAAAAAATTATTCACTACCCATTAGTACTAGTAATGTGTAAAGTATCATGGCAGCATAGTTAAACAAATGACTTCACATTTTTGTAGAATGAACTTTTATACAGAAGCTAAAACTATACAAAAGTAACATGTATGCAGAAGCTAAAACTAATGAAAGTAATATGTATACAGAAGTTAAAACTAATAAAAGTAATATGTATACAGAAGTTAAAACTATACAAAATTAACATGTATACAGAAGCTGGAACTAATGAAAGTAACATGCATACAGAAGCTAAAAGTATACAAAATTAACATGTATACAGAAGCTAAAACTAATGAAAGTAACATGCATATAGAAGCTAAAAGTATACAAAATTAACGTGTATACAGAAGCTGAAACTAATGAAAGTAACATGCATATAGAAGCTAAAAGTATACAAAATTAATGTGTATACAGAAGTTGAAACTAATGAAAGTAACATGCATGTAGAAGCTAAAAGTATACAAAATTAACATGTATACAGAAGCTGAAAATAATGAAAGTAACATGTATGTAGAAGCTAAAACTATACAAATTAACATGCATACAGAAGCTAAAACTAAAGAAAGTAACATGTATACAGAAGCTAAATCTGTAAAAAAAAAAATTAAAACTGCATACAGAAGCTAAAACTAAATCAAATTCCTCTGTTAATTTGCCTTATACTGTGAATGGCCTTTGAAAACTAATAAATATGAAATTACATCAATCATGTTCCAGTATGATTTTCCAAGATTTTGGGCTTAAGATTGCCACTCATGATTTGGAATATTTAGAGCAACAATCTGTCACATGCAATATGTCACAGCAATCTGTCATGTCTCAACAATGTATGATCTGCAAAAAAATTACGCCCTATAACATATTATACAAAATTAACATATATTCCTCAATTCCATCGATTTTGAACATAATATTGCAAGCAATCTGTCATACACACAAGTACAGTACGCAAAAAAATTATTTCAGTAAACAAAATCATTCATAGTATACTAATTTGCCCTTGGTTGATTTCCATTTTCTATATATATATATATCAATATAAAATACTGTAGATTGTATATATAAATAAAAAGTCATAAAATTGTGTTTCAACTAATATTAGTATGAGTCACAGACAGTTAAAACTATTTATATATCAGTATAATCTTGCTTCCATTTCTGACTAATTCTTGATAACCTATATATCACTTCTAACTACCCCATTTAAATATATATATATATATATATATATATATATATATATATATATATATCAGTATAATCTTGCTTCCACTTCAACTAAAACTGTGTTTCAACTAATATTAGTATGAGTCATAGGCAGTTGGATCACAGAAATTGAAAGTTTAAGCTTCCAAAAGATTTCTTGTCTTAGTATGGGTTTTACTAGTTTAGTTAATATAAAATTATTGTCGTAAGATAAAAAATAAATGGATTAGGGTATTTACGCTTTTCGTTAAATAAAAATCAAAAATAACATAGACCGAGTTGATTTTTTTTAGAATTTAATGGATTTCATTATGATCAATACTAAAATTTTGTAGAATACGATTGTGAAGAAAAATAGTTGTATTTATTAAACAAAAAGGCTTTCAGTTTAAATAATCAGTCATAGTATACTAAAATGAAAGTTGAAGAAAGCAGAGGGTAACAGTGATTTAGGGTTTCAAAAACTTCGAACTTGCAATCAAACTCCAAATTAGAACTCCATGTATGGATTTTCAACCGCAAAACAAACAAACAAACAAACAAACAAAAACTCAAATAATAACTCAAACAGACCAAGAATTTGCAAATATTCAAAGAAAGTAGTCAAACCTGTCGAGATCGTTGAAGATAACAGCAAAGGAATGCAGATCGTTGAAGGTTTCGGCCGAAAACAGTAGTGGAACCTTGGATTTAGTGTTCCACCATAGCAGTCACTAAAAATTGCCAGAGAAGAGAGAACAAACGTGAACCTTAGAAAATGCTAACATTTTCCTTTTATATGTCCTTCAGTTGTTGCCTCCGTTACAGTAAAATGATGGGCCATGTTTGCTCCGCTATAGTAACTGTTATAGGCTAAACAGTGTAAAAACAAGCAAAAACACCTAAATGGTGTTTCAGATTTTGGGCCACTTTTGCAAAATGGTTTGCAACTGTTTAAAATATAACAAGCCAGCCAAACATGTTTTGGGTTGGAATTAGGCTACTGTAGCAAGCCTAAAACATAAACACCAAAAACAAAACACAAACCAAACAGGGACTTAAACATTCTCATCCTCTTTGTATAGACATTATTCAAGACATTGAGCATTTGTAGTAGAGTAATCTACGTTTCAAGCTTTTGTGGACTTCTAGATCTTACAATATTGTTGCTCGAGTAAGTGGACTCTTGAACAAGGGGATGGGGATTTGCAGTGGTGAGTTTGGCCTTTAGGGTTGTTGAATGTAATTCATAGAGATATATCATATTCTTTATTAGGGGTTAAAAAAAAATTAATACAAAAACATTGAAAATGTATTATACACTTTACACACAATAAAGACCCTTATTAATGTTAATTCTCCAATTCAATTCGTTCAACATCATTTAGCTCCAACCAATAATAATAATAGAACAAGCTTGGACACGCTTGCGTCAAATTCAAGTTACCGAACCCATATAGTATTGTTGTTGTGACGGCCCAAGTTTTTCAACCCGGTGCGTCATTGATGAACCGAAAGTTTACCCGATAACGGATCCGAAATGCGGAAGCAAAAGATAAATCCAAAGTCTATAGAGATGTAAACCATCCCCAAGACACCAATGTGACCTTCCATGAAGTCATGGAGCTCAAGCAAATAACCGGAAGCGACAACCAACATGAAAAGGGTTAAATGGTACCCTATGGCACCAATGACAACCAAAGGGACAAAATGTAGTTCAAACTAAACCAAGAACACCAGGAAATGGCTTACACAAGATTAATAAAATCTAGTAGGAAGGAATAAAGCAATAAAAGCCTGAAGAAACAATTAACCAAACAAAACCTACAAAGCAGCTCCATTTTGGTCGACCGAAATAGAGCTTCGGTCTGCCGAAATGAGCCAGGAAAAAGAAGGAAAAGAGCCTCCATTTCGGTCGACCGAAATGACAAATTGGTCGACCGGTTTGTGGCTCGAAATTGAAAAAGGCTACTAGAATTGGACTATTACTGTTCAATTGAAATTCAAAGGCCATCGGTCAACCGAAGCAAGCTACCGGTCGACCGAAACAGGTTGAAAATGCAAAAATGAACCTATTATGCACCAAAAATGAAAAGAAGTCCTTAAGGCTCAATCGGATCCCCCATTGCATAATCAAATTGAATTGTATGCAAGTGTGTGATGATGTGAACATACACGCAAGTGTAAAATAACATTTTTAAACACGCTGAAATGGCCTATGGCCTTATTACAATTCATTTACAACATTTGACATGTCAAACCTCCAAGTTAGAAAAATTACATTTCATAGGCAAAACTTAAACATGCAAACACTTGCATGTGAACAAGAATGCTTCTAAAGAAACTTCCATTCTGCAATTCACCCAAAGCAAGTGCAAATCTCCAATCTTGTATCCTGTACCTGAAATATGCCCCAGTAACTTTGGGGTGAGCAACATAAAGCTACTCGTAGGAAATGAGCATGCATCGACCTAACGTTTTACATGTTTGCATGATTTAAACATCATGGTTCATTCCACCTAGCGTCTATGTCAAAGGTGAGACTCAGGGAGCATCCTAAGCTACCTAAAACACATCATTCATGCAATTCAAACAACATAGGAGCATGTTATACAAAGCGGCAAAATATAGACTCTCAAAGTCATCAACTTGAAATCTAAGATGTAAGAACAACCAAAGTGGGTCATGCCACCTAACGTCTATGTTCCAAATGAACATATAGGATTATTCCTAAGTCACATTTGAACAGTAAAGCATGAATCACAATATCTATGCCATTTAACCAACATAGAAGCATGCTATACAAAGAAACAAGATATAGATTCTCAAAGTTATTAACTTAAAATCTAAAAGTGTGAAATCAACTAAAGATAGCAATTCAGTATAATTAGAATTTCTAATACCACACATCAAGACATAGATTCTCTAGGTTATCAACTAAAAACTAAAAGTGCGAAATCAAATAGTAAAATACTTGGACATCTAAGCTCAGAATTCTGCTGAGACCTCAACGGCTATTACGGGCACTAACCCGCTAGTAATACCACCCCTAGTGTGCACTATCTCGACGAGAAAAACTCATACCTCCCGCACTAGAGCCAAACTCTAGCCATGTTATAGTAACCATGTCCCAAGTGACTCCAAAATAAATAAGTTAACAACTTATATACAAAAAAATATATATACAGCACGAAACCACATTCCATGCACAAGTAGGTCGAAACCACACAATACATGCTCTAAATCTACAATTACTATAGGATGACAATGTCGAATCTTCAGAGCGCGATTCGTTACGCGCTATAATAACATCACATGTCGAATCTTCAGTGTGCGATTTGTTACACGCTATAACAATATAATTCAATATTGAAACATAATCGCATAAATCCATTACAAGTCTAAAATCATGCTTCAAACATAATATCAATGTTAAACACATGATTTAATCAATAATGCAATAGAAACAGAAATTAATTATATAACCTAATTAATTTCTCTAAGTTTCACATCTCAATCAAATGAACCCTAATTAACACATATTAAACAACATAACTTATTCATTACATGAATCAAATCAAAAGCTTACTTAGGTCATTGGATCAATAGGATAGAATTTAATTAAAACATGATAATTAAATCCCTAAATTCTAAAACAACATCAAATGGTCCCAAATTAATATGTGCTAGTATACAAGCCCTAGTTATCAGAGATATTAAGTTAAAAACTTAATCAGGCCAATGGAACCATTAAATGGATTTTAATTAATCATTTTAATTAAAATCTCTAGATTTTTATACTTATCCAAATGCTCTCAAATTAGAGTATATTAAGGAACATGCCAAGACTTAATTTAAAAAAATATTACAAGTTTATTTCATGTAAGGTATGACCATGGGAATTAATCTTTCACAAAAGAAAAATATTAAATAAAAAATGCAATTCTTATTCAATTAATTTCAATTTAATATATGTTAACAAACATATTAAATCCAAATTTTCTAGCATGCCACAATTTAATTCTAAGTTATACATCATCATGAGAATTAAATTCTAACCATAGAAATTAATTAAATTAAATTTTAGGACTTAAACAAAAGCATGCATACAAGTTGTATAATCATGGAAAACACTCCATACAACACATATAAAATCCTAAAACATCCCCTACCCCAATTTGAGATGAAAATCTTAAAAGCCCACCGAAATAAAAGTGCTCCGAATCCGACGATACCGAAAGGTTTTGTCGGGGACAACACGATGAACAAGAATCCGAAGGAAGCCCCATGAAAATCACAACTTGACTTCAAACCCGAACTCAAGAAATGGTTAGAAATGGATTCTAATAAGAGGGAAAGATATAGCTCGTCGAGGGGAACAATAAACGTGAAGGCCGAAGACTTTTCACTTAGGAAATCAAGTGGAGGAGAAAAAGAAAAGGTGGCAGCCCAAGGAGCTCCCATGGCTGCCGGCCAAGAGGGGGAGGAAGATGATCAAAATCTAACTTTTCTTCTTTAAGTCCCCTATTTATAGAAAATCTCAAAAAGTGCCCCGAAAGGGCCCCGCCGGGTCTAGAAAAGTGGATTTTGAGCAGACGCACTCAAACGGTGAAACTCTGTGAACGAAAAAGATTCAAAATGAGAAAACATGAATAACGGAAGAAACGGCGTCAAAAACTGAGTCCCGAGCAAAGAGATATGCCCCGAACAAGTTCAATGGCAACTTGGTTTAGAAACTCTGAAACTGGAGAAAAACGACCAGAACGGAATTCTAAGAGTACATGATTCAACGAAATGTGAAAATGAATCCCATACGAGAATCCAGGCTCCAGACGAGGTATTTTTGCAATAACTTTCGTTAATTGCACAATGGCCCCTCTAAAAAGTGAAAACTGCACTAATGCCCCAGAATGAAAATATCTTCCGAAAATATTTTCTTAAAAATCCCTGAAATAAAATATCTTCAAAAGATATTAATAAAAAACACCCCAGGAAAAGAAAAAAATTCTGAAAAACTATGCATCGATGCCCATATGGTTACCAGGAGCAACCAGAGTACTTTCTTACAAAAGTAAAGATACATATTTCGTGAAAACCACTTAGAATGAAGATTTGTGAAGTCAAAAACTAACTCCGAACACAAGAAGTGAGGTTTATGCCAACAAAGTGACAAACGGGGAAAGGACGAAATAGGGAACAGGACGAAAGGTGAATAGTGTCGAAAAACGAAAAAAATGTGGAAATGACTCGGTCCTCAAAGGAAATTGTCAATTCAAAGAAAAGAGTCTCGAAAATCATTCCAGAGCACTCGAGACGACACTAAGCAACGAGAAACTGAACTCAGAAAGAAAAAGACCAACGGAAAAAAAAAATATACGTAAAAATCTGAGAAAAAGAAAGGAAGGAAAAAGATCGGGTCATTATAGTTGTTGTAATGGTAAAAAAAACATGCTATGCTCTTGGTGATGCATTATATAAAGTATTTTTTATTTTTTATTTTTTATTTTTATGCTTATAAATTCATTTGGTAACAATATTGTTTAAAATACTTTTATTACTAATTTTGCTATATTACGTACGTAGTAATAAACATGTTCATTATTCAACTATTAATTATTATGAAAATTCATTGGTTTCAATAATTATATAAATATCAAGTTGTTTTAAATTTCTTCTTTATTATTATATTTTTCTCTTATATAATATTTATAATTTTGTATTTAACACTAAAATATAAATATATTTAATAATCATTAATTTATAATTGATGTAAAAAATATTAATAATAGAAAACGCATGAAATCAATTGGAGAATATGGTTTCTTTTAAGTTTTTGAATTCAATTCTTATATTTTATTATTAGGGGTCCTAAAAGGAAATTACTCCGGTCTTTATGGGACATTTTCGATATAAAAGAAACCACAGGGCAGCCAATGCTAATATCCGAAAATATCAAAAACTTGTCCGGTCTTTTAGGTGGTGGTTAAAATTTGTCGTCGTCTTCTTCCAAAATTTTAAAGACGGAAACAAGGTTTTTTAAAAAACCCCTCCGCTTTCTTTACACTCTCTGCCGGCCATCGCAATTTGTCTCCTCTTACTCATTCTACCTAACTCTTTCTCTCTCCTCTCTTTCTCTCTCTATACATGCGCATATATAATAGTATTATATCTACAATGCCTATCTCCAATTTAAGCCTCTTCAAGACGACCAGTGTTGTTGCTCCCAACTCATCGAATCTTCAACCATGGATTCTCCATTTCCCGCCAAATTTTCTACATTCTTCTTCTTCATCATTGTCCTCGGTCTCTGTATGTTCTCGGCGGCTCAATCGTCGACCACCGGAGTCGGCTACATTTCGCGCCTCCTCGAAATTCAGGATCGGGAGAGAGCTCCTCCTACAGTCCAATTAGCCGCTGCTCGGGCCGTCCTTAATCGGCTCATGCCTTCGCATTCGTTCAGCTTCGAGTTTCAAATCGTCTCCAAGGTTTGCCATATCATTAAATTCGTTTTCCTTTTTTAATTAGTGCGTTTTTCTTATTTATTTATTTGAATGTTATTGACATGTGTGAGGACTGTGAATTGAACTCTTCTGTCGGCACTTGAGTGATCTAAGGTTTTGTATGAGGCCATGGGCCTGTTTGGTTCAGTTTTTAGAAGTGTATTGAGTACTGAATATTAGAAAACTTTTTTGGTTGTCAGTTTTTTGAAAATTGTTTTTCTGAAAACGATTTTTTGTTTTCTGGGTTCTTGAGAAATATTTTCTTTAACTAAACAGGCCCCATGTCTCCAACTTATCTACTTTGTAGAAACAGAAACCAGTACTCTTTGATTAGTGGCTCTAAAAAATGCGGAGATTTGAATCAGCATTGGCACATTGCTACGATTTTGTAAGTGTTAAATATATTGAATCAATTATAACTTGTCAGATCTGAATTGAACTCATTGATTTGGTTTTTCTGACAGTTTGTGTTCTAATTTAGTTATCAAGGGTGGAATTCTACAAGCAGTGATTTTTTCGAGTCAATTGATGTGTAAATTACTCTTTAATAAACTTCTTTCCAAATCACCCCTTACAAAGTGAAATTTAACTACTAATATCTGAAATAAATCACAATAATTGATTTTGTAGCTCCTAAAGATTGAAATTTAAAAGTGATGAAACTTTATATAGCTGTGTTGTCTTCATTACTGTTTATTGTGCCTATAAGTTTGAATGGGATTCTAAGGTATATAATGTTTTTTGGATTTCTGTAGTTGATCTCTTTAGAAATAAAAGTTAGCAGTAGAGATGGTGTGGATGTGAATTGAATCCTTCAGTTCGGTAGTTTGTTGAGTTTATGGAAATTTCATCTACTCATTTAGTTAATCAAGTTTGTTAAAAAATTAAGGTCACTGAAGCGGAGACAGTACTTTGTTTTAACTCACATTGTCTTCATGTCAATATGATTTTGTTTTGATCTCATATAAAAGGGGCCAACCCAGTGCACGAGGCTCCCGCCATTGCTGGGTTTGCGGAAGGATAGATGTACGCAACCTTTACTCTGCATGGAGAAGTTGTTATAATCCCGTGACCTCTAGGTCACAAATCACAATGGAGCAACCTTACCATTGGCAAAGGCCCACTCTCGTTCTTTGTATACAAAATGACCCTTTAAACTTCTTTCTTTGCAGGAGCATTGTGGTGGAGAATATTGCTTTATTTTAAGCAACCATCATTCTTCCAATGAGAGTGGTGCTACAGAAATATTGTATGTTGATACTCTTCCTTTATTACACATTGATCATCTCTAAAGTATTTGTTGTTAATTAGTGATAAATTAAATTAATAAATTTTGAGTTTGTATACAATGATTTTTTATGAAGATATCAACATTCCTTATTCCCTGAGGCTAGTGTTTGACGTGGCAGATTATTGTCACTGACCACTTTGTGCGTTAAATTTGACTGTTTGGTGTGAATGCAGATGTCATGACAGGATCATTAACACAAAATTACATTTCTCACTCCACTAAGAGATATGACATGTATTTCGATATTTGATTACACTTGGTGCTTACTGTTACTATTATACTGCAGTTCTTGTGTCTTTCATGAAACCCGTGGTTTATGCATATCACTGAATTGGACTTGTGATAATTGAAGTATAAATTCTGTCTAGAACATAAATATGAATGGGCAAAACAAATAATTTAAGGATTAGGTCATTCAATAAATAAAAAATGTCATATATGGTCTATAACAAAATTATGTTATATACTGTATGTGTTCTGATGTGAAGTTTTTCATCCAAATCATGAGAGAGAGAGAGGAGAAGCCGTTTCATAAGCAGACTTTTAATTGTTTTCTAGTATTGAAATTAGATTAGATGAATAAGTATATTTGCAAATGCAATAATTAAAATTTTTTTTTTGCCCCCAAAAGAATGGCTGAAACGTTCTATTTCTCGGTGTTGATAACCATCTACTCTAAAAGCTTAAGCTGTTAGAGATGGTGATCATGGTGTAACTTTAATATTTAAATTCTCTAACACGCCCCCTCACATGTGGCCTTCTTTTTGGTCCAACATGTTTAAGTTTGAACTCAAGACCTGCATGCTTTGATACCATGTTGACAAATGACTACCATCTAATCTAAAAGCTTAAGTTGTTAGAGATGGTGAAACTTTAATATTTAAATTCTCTAACACTCAACAAATTGAATCAGACTAGTGGTCAAAAATTGAAAACCACTTGTTTCCATGAAAGAAATGAAGTTTTCTATGTTTGAAGTATACTAAAAAATGTTCAAAACATATTGAAATATGCAAAAATTTTATTTTGCGTGGACAATAATCCCAAAAGACTAATAAAAAGTAATATTATTTATTATTATTATTTTTTTCATGAGAAGTGGGAAATTGGAGGACTAAAAGGATTAAAAAATAATAATAATAATTAAAAAAAAAGATTGAAAGAAGACATCTCCAACCCTTGACAATAAGGAGAATGAGTAGAATAAGGGGAAAAGATGAGGTTGGCAAAGATTTTATTGTGATACTTAGTTGTAGTTGTTAACTGTGATAGCCTAGTCTTCTAATTGTTCACTTAGGTTATAACTCGTAACCTTCTTTTGGAAAAGATTAGGTTGTGATTAATTTTTTTTTTTTTTCTTTCTTAAGCTTGTGATTTTAATTTCTACTTCATGTACATTATATAGTACATGCTTATTATCGTATTTATTGAAGGTTTAATGGAGGAATCAGTAGAGGAAAATCTTTCAGTAATTGATGTTGTTTCCTATTATTGAAGATTTGGTGTTACTGGATGAATCAGTGGAGAAAATTCCTCCTTACTTCCTATTTTCTAATTCTTTACATTCTCATAATTTCTTCTCCTATATAAAGGAGCCTCCATCATTGTATTGTATATGAATTGAGAGAGTATTGTAAAAGTGATGTAGCCCTTTGGGCTTTTTGTGCCGTGGATGTAGGCCCTATTGGCTGAACCACGTAATATCTTTGTGTTCTACTTGTTTTATTTATCTCTTTGCTTCCGTTTTATGGTTTACAACATGGTATCAGAGCCTAATTTCTCTTCCTAGGTTCTGACCCCTATTTTGGGGTATTCCCTTAGCATCTGAAATGTCGCTAAGGGTTTCTTGGTGCTATTTGTGACTTGCTTGGACTGCCGTTGTGTTCAGTAGTACTATTCTTCGCCTTTTCCGTGTCTCCAGCAGTTTGTATTGATTTGTTTGGGCTGCCGGTTTGTTCAGTAGAATTGTCTTCGCCTTTGCCGTGTCTCCGGCAAATTTTGTTTGACTTGTTTGGGCTGCTAGTGTGTTCGGTAGCATTGTCTTCGCCTTTGCCGTGTAACGACTCAAACCAGGGGTCCGGATCGCTAACCGGGTCCTTAACCAAACTCGAGGACACATTAGGGATAAAAATGTTATTTTACAATATGAGAGGGTAATCCATCTTTAACTAATCAAATGAGGTTTAAAATAATCATTCTAGTCATTTCATGATACTCGGTGAAGTTCTACGGCCATCGGTTATAAATTCCCAAAAGTACCCTTACCCGGTTCAAGGGAAATTCCGACACTATCCCACTAAAATGACCATAACTCTCAACATGAATGGAATTTGAGGATGCGGTTGGTCCCATTGGAAAGCTAACTCAAAATCCTTGAAAATAGACTCAAGAACCCTATTTGGGTTTGGAACGAAGAAGTTATGGCCGAACGAAGTCAGGTGATCAAAGCTGATAAGCTGACAAGCAAAATGTGCACACTGGGGGACTTGAACCGGTTCAATGTGCCCATTCTCAAACCAAAGATCCCCCCTTGAACCGGTTCAATGGGGCTGAACCGGTTTAAGATGCCCAGAACCTCAAAATTGTCCCAAACAGCCTAAAATTGTGATCTTGTGCACTTTGGCATTACTTTGGTCTCTTGGTGGCCTTACTCAAAGCCCAAACCTGTCCTAAATCTTCCATATAATGATGAAACTAACACTACTAAGTGGTACTAAAATCGAATAAGGCCATACACGAGTCCGTTACACCATTAAAATTAAGCAAATCAGTCATACATCAAAAATATGGCCTTAAGGCCTTACATGGATATTAAAATCATAATGAGACCACCAAATACAAAAGAATGGTCTCAAGACCATTTCCAACCATGTGATATATATAAAATGACCCATAATACTATTTACAACAAAAAGGGGTAAAATAAACATTAAGCACTAAAGAGTCCAAGTCCGTCAACCCGTCTACACTGGTGGTGGATTATCGTCCGCCACTTCTTTGCCGTGCCCTGAAAAATGTTAATAATAAAAGGGTGAGCAAATTGCTCAGTAGGAGGTGCCTAAGACACACCTCTTGTGACCCCGTGAATCCAAACAAGGAATAGGAAAAAGAACAGGGATCATGCTATATTCGGGAAAAAATATAACCACAACTTCAACTACAACAATCCAAGTCATAAACGAGTCATGCCATGCTATGGAATGCAATGTCATGTAATGTCGCTCCCCATTTACAAAACCTTTTCCGTCATCATTTCCAAACCGTTAATGCAACCCATCCCATGCCAGCTCTATGGCGGCACGAGAGAAGGATTGACTAACTGTCCCTGACCACAAGGCAAACTCCAAGGCGTCATTTGAGGCCAGTTAACTCAACCACGCTAGGGGGTTTCCCTAGTTCCCTCTAGGTCACATTAACGCCACGGGCCCATAGGCAATCTCTTAGGCAACCGGGTTTCACAAACCTTTCGTCAAAAACCTTTTTCCCAAAATCATTTTCTTTCATTTTTAAATCATTTTTCTCATTTCTTCCCAATGCTTATGCATGGATGTATCATGCCTTTTCGTACCATGTCAATATTCATCATCATGCTTCCATATCACAATATCTAGCATTTTCCACACCATAGGCAAGTACTATCATCAATTAAGCATGTTTTTTCATATAATTTTAACTAACACATAATCACATGCTTTACAAAACTTCTATGGCATAATTCATACTTTCAAGTCGTGAAATTTAGCACCAAAGGTACAAAGAGCACAAATTAATCATCAATTAGGCATGTTTCATCATCATATATACCAAGCAACACATAGTCACAACTTTGGCACAACATATATACAATATAGCATGAAATTTCTACAAATCAAGCATGCTAGCCACAACTTAAGAAGATTAATTCACAAAAAGCCCAAGAAAATGTGAATTAGAAACCCCTACCTCAATGGAGCAAGCTAAACAAGCCCTAAGCTTCCCAAAATTTCGAAATCCTTCAAAACCCTAGCAATATAGGCCTCAATTTGAAGCTCATACCAAGCTCTCCAACCTCCCTTCTTCCTCTTCTTCAAAATCCCACTTTAAACTCTCCAAATCAAAGCCTTTTCTTTAGGAGACATAAATGTGCTTGTGCATGAATATAGAGAGAGATAGAGAAAGTGATAGAGAGAAAGAAAAGGTGCCTGAAATGAGAAGGAGAAATGGATAAAGTGGTGGTCTTGCATCTTCCATGGCCAAGGTTGTGCCAAGTGTCAACTTTTGGTTGATTTCTAATTCAAGCCAAGTTACTATAATGCCCCTCCTTTTTCAATGAAATGCCATTCTTACCCCACAAATAGCTACCTCTAATATATAGATATAGATGTATACATATATGCGAGAAAAGTCCATTATGCCCCTTTCTTAAAAATGACAAAACCGGGAGAAATTCCCGAGTCCGGAAATCGTCCCTGCTTTTGAAAAATTCTATAAATAATACCGTCACTTCTAATTGACTTAAAATGATTAAAAATATACTTCTAAATCCCTCGGCTCAAAAAAATGACCAAAACGCCCCTCGGGACTGCGTGGCACGCAAAACAAGGAAAGACGTAAATACCCTCGAGAAAATAAAAAAATTCTAGAAATTGGAAAATGGTAAAAATTGGAAACATTGCATGCCGTGTCTTCGATAATTTTTGTTTGACTTGTTTAAGCTGCCGGTGTGTTCGGAATCATTGTCTTCGCCTTTACCGTGTGTTCGGCAATTTTTGTTTGACTTGTTTGTGCTGTCGGTGTGTTCTGTAGCATTGTTATTTGCCTTCCCTCATCTCTCTTCATCATTCACACGTGTTGTCACTTGTCATCTCAATGGCAAGTTAGGCATTCATGCTCCAACTTGAGGGGGAGTATTGAAGATTTAATGGAGGAATCAATGGAGGATAATCTTTTAGTAATTGATGTTGTTTCCTCTTATTGAAGATTTGGTGTTACTAGATGAATTAGTGGAGAAAAAATCCTCCTTGTTTCCTATTTTCTAATTCTTTACATTCTCATAATTTATTCTCCTATATAAAGGAGCCTCCACCATTGTATTGTATATGAATTGAGAGAGTATTATAAAAGTGATTTAGTCTTTTGGGCTCTTTGTGCCATGGATGTAGGCCCTAGTGGCTGAACCACTTAATATCTTTGTATTCAACTTGTTTTATTTATCTCTTTGCTTCCGTTTTATGGTTTACAACAAATTTTTTTACCCTTGATTATGGTATTTCAATATTATGTGAGATAAAAAAGAAAAAACTCCAAAACTTTGTATATTTATTTTATCTTAGTAAAGAATTGTATGACATTAGTTGATGATTAGTTCACATTTACTTTACTTAGTTTCACCACCTCGTAGATGAATGTGCATGCCTGAAATATCTTCAATTAGTCAATTATAGCTTATTATCACTCTTTAATATGGTTTACTTTATGATTGCATGGGTTTCTATTTTTTTTTTTTTTTTTTTTTTTTTGACTTTTCCCATTTCATTTAATAAATGTTTATATTTCCAAGCTAATTGAAAGACACTCTAAAATGAAATTTTGATCCTTGCGTACATGACAGATAATGCATAATATTTTCCCTCCTTTTTCTTTCTTTCCTACCCATTTTTTTATAAGTAAAGATGTATTGAAAAACGTTCAAAAGGGGAACGCATCCGTCAAAAAATAAAAAAGGCCAAATCGGGCCTCTAAACTCTCAACGAGTCCAAAAATTCAATTATCTCATCCATGTATTTACGATATCTCCCAAGAATCCAACAAAAAAGAGAGTAATGTTGAACTTAAGCGCGCCAATAGGAGTCCCCTTTTCTTCAAAAGATTGCCTATTTCTTTCAAGCCATAAACACCACCAAACGCATAAATGTGTGGCCCTCCAGAAATCACGAGCTTGGGCCCCCACTACACACCCTCATGGGCCTCACCAAGCCTCTACCATGCCTCTAGATGACCTGGGCATAACCCACTGAACCCCGAACAAAGACAACATCAGAACCCAGCAGTCCCAAGCAACTGGGCAATACAAAAGAAGATGATCAATTGTTTCCTCATTTCTCAAACACATACAACAACAATTGACCACAATCTGTCTCCTCCTTTCAAGATTATCCTGAGTCAAAATCTTCCCCAAAACAGATGTCCAAGCAAAGAAGGCCACTTTGAGAGGAGCTTTAGAACGCCAAATAGCCTTCCATGGAAATGCAGCCCCTGGGTCATCCGTAAGTCACCTGAAGAAAGACCGAATCTCAAAGCGACCCTGGGGGGATGGAACCCAAACCACAGAATCAGGAACACCATCCACAATCTCCTGATGGTACAACATCTCTAGAAAACCAATGGCCTCCTCAATCTCCAAGTCCTGAAAGTTCCTCGAAAAACGCACATCCCAGAACGTTCTTCCACTATCAAAGTGATGGCAGTCAAACACCAAGGCGTGTCTGTCCGTTGCAATCCTGAAAAGGCTGGGAAAAGAGAAGGCAAGAGGACAATCACCACACCATATGTCTTCCCAAACACGAATTCTGCTTCCATCCCAAATTTTGAACCTTATATGTTTAGAAAATTCAACCCATCCCTTCTGAATGAATTTCCATATCCCAATTCCGTCTGGGCTACCCACCTCAATAGAACACCATCCACCAATATCCTCCCCAAATCGACTCACACTTTTCCTCCCCCATATCTATGTCTACTCACATCGATCCTCTTCACAGATAAGGGAAACTAGTTATTAGGAAAATAATGCATCTTTTGATATTTTTTGACAATCTCAAATTTAAGTAAAACTTTTGCCACTCCAGGATTGACAGAGGGCATTTTTGTTATTGAGTATATCCAGGTTAAATGGACAAACTTTTTTTGACTCATATAAACTTCAGTATTGACTTCAAAAGTTTTCATGTGTTTTACTTGAAGATGTAGAAAACTCATCGGTTTTGGCTTATTGGGCATTGGGTTTTATCAGCAAGGTGGAGGTGGACTGAGATGAATGCCCCCTGTAAACCATTTAACAATCTTATAAAAACTTTCCAGGCCATGATATTTGTTGTCATTTGATACAATATACTACCAAAGGCATATAAATTACCATTGCCATTATCATGAGCGTATAATCCCTTTGCTATTTTTTTTTAACGAACACAATTGTGTTTAATTTCTAATTAGAATAAGTGGGGTTACTGGAGTGGAGCTCTTGGCTGGTCTACACTGGTACTTGAAGTATTGGTGTGGTGCTCATATATCATGGGATAAGACTGGTGGTGTACAACTAGTTTCAGTTCCTAAGGCAGGTTCTCTCCCTCGTGTTCAAGATGCTGGAATTTTTATTCAAAGACCTGTTCCTTGGAACTATTACCAGAATGCTGTTACATCTAGCTGTAAGCTTTAATTTCAGTTTATTTTTCTTTTCAATCTTTTAGGGTCTGTTTGGCAACTGGAAACGTTTTGCGTCAAAATTTTCATACGAAACAGAAACAATGTTTTTGTTGTGGAGTGTGTTCGATAGTGATTGGAAACATGTTTGGTAACATAGAATTTGTTGCAAGATTTTTGAAAGCAAAAACATGAAAACATGTTTGGTAAAAAAAGTGTTGCAAGTTTGAAAAATAAAATGGTTAGTTTAAAAAGGTTGGGTACTGTTCATCGCTACAGTGCGGAAACAACCGAAAACATCAATTTTATGTTTCTGGTTTTGGCCTCTTTTTCAAAAACACACATGCTACTATTCAAATCGCAACAAACGTTACCAAACACGTGTCTGTGTTTTGCTTCGCTACAGTACATCCACAACAAAAAACACGAATCAAAAGTGGTTGACAAACAGAGCCTTAGAAACTTGGAGCTGCTAAAACCCAATTCAGTTGCTTTTGGCTTTGGAATCTTGTAGATATATTTTGACGAAGTTTGTCTTTCTCCTTCTTTTATATGCTATTCATAGACACTTTTGCTTGGTGGGACTGGGAAAGATGGGAGAAGGAGATTGATTGGATGGCTATCCAAGGTATTAATTTGCCTCTAGCATTCACTGGGCAAGAGGCTATTTGGCAAAAAGTTTTCCAGGTATTTACCTTTTGGTATCCTGTTTCTGTCCCATTTAGCTTGATTGTCTTAGAGATACTCTCAACAAACTTCTATATTGATCATCTTCCGTTTCTTGCCAAAAATATATGGTTAAGAAAACATTAATATATTATCTTGATTTCATGAAATAAAATATTTTCAGCAGACTGGCAAACTGGTATGGGGTTTACCCTTTTTCCTACTTAATTATAAAGGGATTGAATAACTAGGCAGTTATTATAATATTGAAATGATGGAGATGTTACTAACTCTAGTTTATAAAAAGGAGGGAAATTCTATCTACAATTATATACATGGAAGATGAGTGCCGAAAGCATACATTCTTCTTTCTTGGAATCTGAACTATAAGGCGGTGTACATATCGTAAGTTTTTGACTTATCTAAGATCACCAAATAAAAAATGAGGAAATGAAAAATCTAAACTTAAAAACTAAAAATTCTTACCCCAAATACCAGGTTCAGCAATGAAAAGTTTCTGTTTGCTCAATCTAGGGCCATAACAGTTATAAAGCAAAACAATGAGTACACTAACAAGGTTTTTCCGTTGGTTTTATTTAAGGAGACAATATTAGCCGTTATTTTATGTTAATATTATTTTAGAAAGATACCAAAGGGCCTCTAGCCGAATTCTATAACCTCGTATTCCCAAAGAGGGAGTGGTTCGCACCCCGGCGTGGACATAGTGTGTGTGAATACTTACCTGGTCAAATAATAAATAAATAAATTATTATTTCAGATGATTATTCTTAAATTCGATTTTGGCTTCTGATCATTTTTTTTTATTTTTCCTGTCAATTCATTATGTTCAGATGATTGTAGTAGCAACTAAAGATTCATATGTTATGCTAAAGTTTGTTTAATTTAAATAATTTGGTGTCTATAAATTTGTGTTCGTTTAGTGAATTATTCATCCTTTCGCAGAATTTCAACATCAGCAGTTCAGATTTGAACGATTTCTTTGGAGGCCCAGCATTTCTTGCATGGTCACGAATGGGAAATTTACATGGGTGAGCTTCTAATCCTTCTATTAATATTTAGTATAAACTTTCAGCCTCTGACTTGAGCAACTTTGCTTTCCACCTTTTTACCCACCTTTGTAGTTTAAATGCAACAAATTGATGTGCCGATTTTCGAAGTCATGTTATATTCTGGCAAACTTATTCTTTCAAGCTTACTAAGAACAGCTGGTGGGCTCGTCGTCAACACTCCAAATTTGTGCAAAATAGTGTGGCCAAGTTTTAAATTTGTAAAAAGCCACTACTAACTCTAACTACTTAATATAGCTAGGGTGAGTAGGGATCGTCCCAAGGGATTGTGGGCGTATTTGCAATGGAAACAATATATAGGGTTAGTAGGTCAAATGATCAAAAGATTGTTTGGTTGATTAAACTACTGGCAAAAACTAAGCAAGTTCAATGTAAAACAAATAATAACAAATGAATGATAAAGGGAACAAGAGAGAGAGGTCTTGGAACTTAGAGGTCACCACTAAACATCAGCTTTCTAGACACTTAATGTATAATTAATGAGGGGAAACATGTGTTGCAACAATAGTGTGTGTGATTGATTGTTTCAACAAGCATGGATGACCAATTAAGTATATATTGTTTAAGCAACCTAGTGAATAGCACAATATATCAAACTAAGCCATTATTCCTTCCTTTAAGCTCACAATCTAAACACATCACATGGTTAGAAAAATATATTACTTGCATTCATAAGCATGGAACATCAAACAACAAGTATGGATTGTCCTCCCATCTAAGAAACTAAGGCAACTACACTACAACTAAGCTAGGAACACGAAAATTAAACTAATTAAACTAAGGGAGAGGCACAATCCATCAAGAAATGAGCATGAACCATCAAATATACCACAAGAGTATTCTATTAAGCACTATGCCTTGACAATCTCTAGATCCATAGCATCAACACACATAGACATGCATTAACAACACAAAAAGTAGAGATAAACACATGAACATCTATTCTAGCATACATAGATATATGGATAGAATGAAATGATCAATAGGAAGTATTAAACCACACAAATCATTATATAAACAAGATTCATATATAAATCAAGTGTCAAGACAAGAATCACAATACAAATCCCCTCAAAATACAAAGCATCAAGGTCTAGAAGGCATGCTTAGGGCTAACTTTAGCCCCAAGAAGATGTTTAGCCACTCATTGATGTAGTCATCCAACCCTTAAGGGCCATCTCCATGGTAGAAATGCTCTTCTCCTTGGTTGAAACCCTAGATAAATGGAAGAACTCCCAAAATGGTGTGTCTCTAGTCTCTAGCCTCTCCTCCTCTCCTTTCTTAGTCTCTAAGTATCTATCTCCAAAAAAATGTTTTGATGATATGAAGATATATGTAAAAATGGCTCAAAATCCTTTTATAGGTAGCTCAAGTGTCACACCCAATGGTCTAGACTCGTGTACTAGGGTCCCTTCAATGATTGCACCATGAGCCATCTTTTAATGAGCTGGACTTTGTTTTAATTCGGACTTGAGAAGGTTCGATCAATCGAGTTCAGATGAGATCGATCGAACTGTGGCTAGATCCATCGTATTTAGGCCAGATCGATCAATCCTTGGCGACGCCTTTTTGGAATAAGACAAATCTGAGATATTTTTGGGATATTTTGGGAAAAGGACAAAAGTGGTAGGTGGGGATAAGATCAAAGGATTTCGATCGATCTGAGGAAAGTTGGATCGATCGAAGATGGTGGAATCTTTTGGATAAGGACAAAGGCTTGGATCCATCTTGAAATGGCTAGATCGATCACCTCCAGATCGATCGAAGAATTGTTAAGATCGATCGAAGATACTGCTTTTCCACCACTTTGCTTCCACTATGCTCCTTTCTTCCATTCAGCTCAAGATTGCTTCTTTTATGCTCTAATTGGGCTGAATTGACTTATTTTGGGGATAAACACCTGAAAAGGGCAATAACATGAAATTAGTCTAAAAGGGGAAAGTAAGATAGATAAAGGTCCTAGAATACTCGAGCTTAAGGAGTTTAAATGCGCACTTTTCAGCGCTCATCACAAGCAATATACTTATATACCATATCTAAATGGTTGGCATACTATTGTTTCAATGCATGCTTCATCACAATGGACCTCTCAGTCGTGTTCCTATCTTGGCACATTCAAGCTTTTTGACAATGTACTTGTAATCTATTAGGGAAAACTAGAAAATACCTGTAAAGAACTGGTTAATAAAGGAGAAATTGTGTTCCACTAAGCAAAACCCTGCTTATGCAAGAGAGAGAATTCTATCATGAAGTTTGTTCATGCATCATATTGTGCAAAGGTACCACGAAATGTAAAAGTAAACGTGACAGTAACTAGCTCAAGTTCCTGAACTTACGACAGCAACTTGTAGGTGACAATTAATTTAATTAATGTGGCATTCTTGGCAAAGATTGGATTCTTTTATAACTCTGTTTATGTGTAAGGTTCTTGGATCGAGGTAAGGGACGTAGGAACATGAAACTTGATGGCTGGATTCGGGTGAGAGTGGGTGGTCTGGTAGGAGTAGAGAGTTTCTGGTTTTGGCAGTGGCTCACCCAATGACATTTATCATTTTGTTTGGAGCTTGAACTGGTTTAGGCATGGCCATCATTATGGAGTACTTGACCTTTATATTGCACCCCAACATGTGTTGGAAAACTGGCTACGATTATGTAGCCAATCATGACACAAATCATTGCACGCTAAAACTTATTTATTAGTTAGTTCCTTTGTTTAATACAAGTATGTTGCACAGAAATAGTATGTTGAAAAGAGGATGTTAGGTATGTGTTGGCATATTCCTACTCGAGTCTTTCAAGCACATTTGTATAATAAATGGCAGACAAGAGTTGCGAAGAACAAGGCATGAAATCTATCCTTATTCACACATCTAGGGCGCAGGTAAAATGACCTTAGAAAGACCTAATTTGACCTAGTTTGTTCTTGGTTGGGCTCATAAAATTGTTTTTGACAAAAATGGTTTTTCAAAATTGAAGTCTTAGACATGTTTCGAAATTTGACTTTCAATTCGAAAACAGTAGCCATTAGTCAAATGGAAAGCATTCCAGTCGTTCGAGTTTTTAACTGAAAAATATATTCTAATCCAATTAGCCTCGATTGAAGGGTTGATCAATCGAGAGGTGTCCAGTGAAGCTTGAATTTGATCATAACCAACGGACATAACTTTTTGGTAACTCTCTCAATAAATTTTTACAAGGATTTAACTTCCTAAAACGTATGAGACTCCTATATTGGCTATAAATGTAAGGTTATAGTCAGTATTGGTATGAGTTGAATGTCTCTAATCATCCAAAGAGATTTTCCTTGTGAGAGGTGGATTCCCAAAACTACGCAATCTAGGGTTTCAAAAAATCCATCGTCTGTGATTAAGTGTTCGTCATGGACGAGTTCAACAAACCGTGCCAATTAAACCATTCAACTGTAAGAGTAAAGAGGGAGAGCAATCATAGCAGAAGCAGATTCGTGGGAGCAATGTCAGTAGACGAGCGGATGAAAGATCTTGAGACTTTCGGGAGAAAGTTTGGCCTCATCTGTGTCTTGGTAACTAGGGATTATAGGTTGAGGTAACTGCTAACCTGGTTGTAATGTCTTTTTCACATAGCGAATTGTGTTTGATTGGACTAGCTCTTGTGGTTTTTTCCCTTTTGGGTTTTCCGTGTAAAAATTCTTGCATCTCCACTTTACTCCACTTCACTTTCTGTTTGTTACTTGATTGTGAGTATGATTAATGAAAATTGAAAATTAACCAGAATTTATATATCAATAACAGAACTTTGAAAAGTTAGTTAAAAGCAAAATAATATCCATAACATCTATTCATCTTCTTCCCAACCTCCTCCCCCCTCCCCCTCCCCTGCCCGTTAGGTCAAAGCACCGTTACTCTGATGTACCAAAGCCATAGGTTCTGGTCCTACGACTATCAGAGGACCAAACCAGCTGTTGCCTTGAAACTTTGAAGTAACAGGATTCATGTTCAGATTAAAATATTACGCTAGCTGTCAAGTTACCTAATGCAACACTCCTCCTTTTCCAGGCTCAGGACCAGCTGAAACCATGAATTTTTATTGTAATATCAACAAAATTCATTTCTGGACAAGCAACAGGATAGGATCTGCATGCAGCTTTGTCCAAGTTGGTCATAATTTCCAATACTAAGTTTAACTTGCCATCTCTTTCCCTGTACTGAGTTACATTTGATGGTCCATTGTGATTTATGCAACCAACGAGAGCTTTCGTCTTATCAGCAATTATGATGTAGTCTGTGAAGATACATGCCATCTTTAGAGCAACTATGTTGTCATTTTTTTGTAAAATCATTGCAGGGTCCTTTTTATTTATTTATTTATTTATTCTTTATTTATTTTTTTCTTTTGGTCCATTACATTTAAACATAAGTTTTGAATTACAGATGGGGTGGACCACTTCCGCAAAGTTGGTTAGATCAACAACTGATCCTGCAGAAGAAAATTCTTGGCAGAATGTATGAACTTGGAATGACACCAGGTACTATTTATTGTTTAAAATCCACTCTATTTAATTTTTAAACTACTACTTTAGCTGCAATTGTAACTGCAGTACATAAGGAGAAACTAGAACGGAAAAAGGTTGGCATAATAAACAGGAATTATTTCTACACCTTCATCTCAGCATGTTGTATTATATAGAACTTGAGAACCTTGGAAGTTCCAGTTGAAGTGGGAACATGCTACAGCATTATGGTTAGTAAAGGCCATTATCCAGTGAATTCTTGGAGGGTTGGAATGGATACAATCCAATCCATCTGATATTATTAAAACAATGTTGCTTCTTTGATACCCGAGCACCAGCTTTTGCACTTTGCAGCCTAAGCGTCATCTTAAACTATGCTTTTCTTCGTCATCATATTTGATCAGATATGACATTGTTTTAGTTATTCATTTTTTGTGCCCATGTAAGATGAAGTAGAATCTCTGTCTTCAATAGGAGAAGCAAAACTTTTTATGAAGTACAAAAATTGTACCAGAAAATTATAATTTTTACTTTAAATTTGTCCTTCCTTACGTGGATAAATTATTCTTAATGCTTTTCTATGTGTGTTTCAGTCCTTCCAGCCTTTTCTGGAAATGTTCCAGCAGCACTGAAATGTATGTTTCCATCTGCCAGAATAACACGCCTAGGAAATTGGTAAGTACTACTATTTACTAACTAGGCATTTTAAAGTTACGGAATTATTTATTATAATCCAATAATTCTTTGCTTCCTGAAATGATTTACTTTGAAGAATTTTTTTACGAGTTTCCAACTTTATTGCCATGGGGTGGTTATTTTGTTTTGGAGGGCCTAAACCAAATTAAAATAACCAAAATAACTGGCATTTAAAGTCCCATGCATTATTTATGTTTTGTAAATAATAAAATTTTAGCAAGTTTTACATTACTTTTGTAAATAGAAAAAGAAAATTAAAAATCTAGATGGAATGGCCTTATATATCCAATAATTTAATTACAAAAATCACACTGCACTTTCAAAGTGCGCTTGGTTTTCAAACACGGCATGATGATTTTACATTTCACCACAAATTCAAGAGAAAAGTGTGATTACATGATTTACAACCATCCCAATTTATTTTCAATTATTTAGCAAATTGGTTTTAATTTTCTGTATAAAAATAAAAAATAAAAATAGTGCACCAGTGCTTGAGCATCTTTAAGATAGTCAACTTATAGTTGATGTTTGGTGTAGATGAATTTTCACATTTTTATATGTACATCCAAAAATATATAGACAGTAAGATGATTTTAAACTAAAGTTTTTTTTTTTTTTTTTTTCCTTTCTTTCTTTCTTTCTTTCTTTCTTTCTTTCTTTCTTTCTGTTTCACTGGTTCTAATTGATCATTGTATGCGATCTTTCTGGGAACAACATCATGGAGATGGACCAAGTTGATGTTGGGTCAGGGTCTTTTATTTGAAGGGCACTAGCAAATTGGAAAACATGGTTCTTCTGAAATTTCACACACACACACACACACGTGCATTAGAAAAATAAGGGCAAATGTTTCCTCCATTTTCATCTTCTTTTTTTTTTTTTGTTCCATCCATCCTAGCACTAGCCAACTTTTATTATATCAACAAAGCCATTTTCCAAGTATAAAACAAGGTCTAGTTTTGCCATGATGCCCTATTTAAGGCCATAGTTTTGCCATTATGCCCATTTTAAGGCCATAATGTAAAATCATATGCCAACATCTTTTTTCTGCTTCTCTAATCCCGCAGATTTTAAAATTTATTATATAATGGTGACTTTAGAATAATGGTGCTCAGCCATTGTTTTCCTTAACGATGTGAGTCGTAATAATCATAAATTCAATACCAATTGGATAATATAATGATTTCTTTCATTTTTTTATTAGTAAAAAAGTGCTAACTTTCTCCATCCTGCTTTTAGGTTTACTGTTGGGGATGATCCTAGATGGTGCTGCACTTATCTTCTTGATGCAACTGATCCATTGTTCACTGAAATCGGGAAGGCATTCATTGAGCAACAACTTAAAGGTGTGCACATTAAATTTCTTGCTCTCCTTTTCCTCCTCCCTTTTCATCCAAGTTGTGTTTGTGTATAAATTTTTAGTTGGGTACTTGGGTGGTTATGATGTATTTATGTCTTTATGCTCAAGTATTTGAAAGTGTCTGTTGTTTGTAATAATTGGATTTTACCTCCTTGGTCAGAATACGGCAGGAGTGGCCACATATACAACTGGTAAGATTTTTTCCAATTTCGTACTCTCACAATTATTTTTTAGTTCCTTGATTTTTTAAAAAGGTCATATTTAGGTTATTGACATTTTGTTCATAAAATCACTGTTTAAGCAAGGAAAAATTAATTATTAATAATCTGATTTCATACATGTAACTATTGTGGAGTGTGTTATACTATTGATTGTTCTTTCAAGTTCATCTTTCATTCTTCATCTATTTTTCATTGCTCACCCATATTTGTCATGTCAGTTTATAAATGGTTATATAACTTTGATCCCCTCTTCCCATTCTCTTTATCTGGGGCTCCCCCTCATGTGCTAGCATGGGAATGTATCAGTTTGAGCACTATCATCTTTTCTTCATGTCATCTAAGTGTTTTTTTCTTTAATAACTTCTTGTTTAAATAATAAAATGAAACTACACACACACACACACATACATGTATATATTTTTCAACATTATGTAACCACTAGATGAATCCATGCAGCGATACTTTTGATGAGAACACTCCGCCTGCAGACGACCCAGGATATATCTCTTCATTAGGTTCTGCAATTTTTAAGGGGATGCAAAGTGGCGATAGTGATGCTGTTTGGCTTATGCAGGTGCAATTATAGCAAGCCAAATTTCTGGCAATTTATTTTCATTTATGTTTCAATTATTGCATACAATGTGGCTTAAAAAGAGAAAACAGAAAAAGAAAAAAAAGAACAGAAGTTTCTGTACCTAGGTTTATGTATATTTGCAAGTGAAATTGGAACTTAGATCTGCTTTTTGGCACTGCTTCACTGTGCAATTGACATTTTTGTCTCATTTCTCCACTAATGTTTTGTTTTCAGTCACTGTAGCCTTTTGTTGTGTTAACTGTCCTACTTCCATTTTGTAGGGATGGCTTTTTTCATATGATCCATTTTGGAGGCCTCCACAAATGAAGGTCATATCTATAATTCATTGGTTTTCTTTTGTGGATTACTAGTTGGACTGTTGGACCTTATGCACGTGTGCATGTAACTGATAGATGGGAAAAAGTGATCTAATAAAGTACAATTCTGAAAGTTCATTATGACCCTCCCCTGCATTCATATTTGTAAAGGTACATGGGACAGGGTTCTTTTTAAAAAGACATGATACTCAAAATGTTCCCCCGGTTCAAACTTAAAACTTTATTTTCACAGGTTAACAAAATTATGTTTGCACCCACCTTTTGGAACTTAAGATATTATCTTATTTTTAACTTTTTATTTGTTTCAATTAACACACAGTTTATGGATGGTTGGTTTGAAACTTTTTTTGTTTTTCCTAGTTGATACCTTCCCCCTTCCCTTCAAAGAATTGTTTGCACCCAAGAGAAGTCAAACCGTAGACCTGATGCTTAATGAGGCACCAGGGCCAAGTGATTTACCCCACTTGAGCCAACCCCTTGGGGTTGGTTGGTTTGATTAATGTTGAAGTAATGCAGTAACTAACATGTGAACTGTAGCTTCCCAACTTTCTGCACCCATAATCAAAATCCAAATTTCGTCAATGGCATTCCATGCCTTTTTTCTTCTATTATATTTTGAAACATGAGTAATTTTCTGTGTGCATGCACAAGCCTCTTTTATTTATTTATTTAATTTTTTTGTCACTGTATATTTATACATGCACTAGTGTGTTATACATCAATATACATTTTGGTCATTGATTCACCAAAAATGTTTTTCAATCTTGAATCTTTGACATGGTTCTGTTCCAGTAACTTCACTGTTATGCATTTGTTGTGCTTCTGGTTTGCAATGACTCGTGCTATTTTTCAGGCACTTCTACATTCTGTTCCAGTGGGAAGACTTGTTGTCCTTGATCTGTTTGCCGAAGTGAAACCCTTATGGAGTACTTCAGAGCAGTTCTATGGTGTTCCTTACATCTGGAAAGTGATAGTCCTTTTTTGTTCTTTTTCATGATACGTTGGTCACTTGTCACACAACACCTGCTCCACAAAAGATTTAATAGTTTTATTGTTACTAATAAATGTGCCTTGATTACTGATTAAAATTTGAGTACAACAGCAATATGTGCATTTTCACCATAAAACTGGTTATAAATTTTCTATTTCTTGAGTGTGATAATTTATGTTGCATCTATGTGAAAAGCTGGCAATTACGATACGTTGATACATTTTTTAATATCAGAATGAGGTTTATTTATCTTAAGCACGTATCAAGTTATTAAAAACTAAAAAAATGCATTTAGTTGAATATAGTGAATAAGAATGAATCTGGAGAGAATTGGGTCTAGGTTAAGCACCTAAATTCTTGCACATTTAGGTTTAGCAGTTTCACACTGGGTGGCAGGATTATCATGACCACTCTATTGTTCTTCCAGATTGACATATGCACTTCTTAATGTATATCCCTTGTTCTAACTCAGTCAATTCTGTGTCTAAGAGAGTAAGACCATGTATTCCATGTCAATGTATAGCATTTGTCCACGTTCACAAATCATAGCTAGTTATGGAATTGCTCGTGTACATGGAATATTGCAGGAAGCCATAAATCTAAAGAAATTATGTTCATTAACTCCTTGGAAATTTGTTTCTTTTATTTTTCTGGTACATTGCCTTTTTACATTTATTTTATAGCATATTCTGGTGATGTACTTCTTTACAGGTGTATGCTGCACAATTTCGCTGGGAATGTTGAGATGTATGGGATTTTAGATGCGATAGCATCTGGACCTGTTGAAGCTCGTACAAGTAAAAACTCAACTATGGTAAATTTACCGATTCAACTCTTGCTGAGCTTCATGACATATTCAATTGTTTGTTAAAGTAATTCAAGGTTTTTGCAGCCATGATATATAAAATGTGAAGTATCTGATAAACAAACATTATTGTGGCTTTAATTCTTACTGCAAGTTATTGTCTAGTTTTAGCTTCCTGGATTCTGTCGCTGGTTGAAAATGCTTCAATGATCATCATCTTTTACTTATTAAATTTTAAAGTCTTAGTTCCTTGCTGATTGATTAAGCATTTTGTAACTTCTGAATATTCTTCCTGCAGTTGTCTATCTTGTGATACCACACTGCAACATTTAGACCCATTTTCTGTGACCTGTAATATATTTTTCTTCGTAGGTGATGAGTGAACATATGGATAACGTAATATACTCAATACTGTATTTGATCTACAAAAATACATGTACTCTGTTTAGAGGATGTAATTTGTAACCATTGGTCTTGTATTGGTCTCCTTTGTGATCCTTTTCTTGATTGATACACTCGAACAATACAATAAGTTTTTTCCTCTCTCTCTCTCACGCGCGTGCGCGCGCACACACCAGAACACACACATCTGTTCAACTTGTAGAATTGAAGTCGTTAGTTATGTCATAACACTTCTATTGTTTTTTACCAATATCCTTACAATCTTATTAGATTCGTGTCTCTTACTTTTCACTGTTTTCTTGTCTAAGGTTGGTGTTGGAATGTCAATGGAGGGTATTGAACAGAATCCGATTGTTTATGATCTTATGTCAGAAATGGCATTTCAACATAACAACATTGATGTGAAGGTAACAATAACATTTTCTTCTTTCTCCAAATCTTTACATATATATATTTCCAATTTTAAGCTTTTGGAGAATTAATTTATCACTTGCACCCCAAGCAGAATTATGTTGATGGATCTTACATCCTGGCTCTGTTATGGCGGGGTGTGGATCCCTTGTCAGCTTTCTGCCTGTACATCCTTGAGCAGGCAAAATCGTACATCCTGGCTCTGTTATGGCAACAGTTCCTATGGTTTGACCACCTCAAAATGTTGCCAAAAAATATATAGATTGTTGAGTTCTCCTTTCTGATGGTGAATTGGTATTTATATTTCTTTCAGAAAAGTCTGAGATTGTTACCCTGGGCTTTAATGTGTCAGAATATGAGCAATGAAAGACCTTTTCGTGTTTTTTTGTTTTGGGCCGGGGGGGGTGGTGGCGTGGCGGAAGAGTAAACTGGTCTTACGAATATTGCAACTAAGTAACTTTTTGGATTTACCTTTAAATCCCTGTTTAAAATTCACTCATTCAGTTAGTCAGTTATGATGATTATGATTTGAATCATACTTTATATATGCTAATTTTCAATTTGCATTTATCTTGTCCACAATGAGGGTGGGCCTTGACACAACGGTAAGATTGCTCTATTTGACCTGGAAGTCACAGGTTTGAAACGAGAAACAGCATCTTTGCATGCAGAGGTAAGACTCATGCACTGGCTAGCCCATAAATCATGTCCACAATCATGCATTAATGGTAACTATAGACAAGTAGAGCAGTGGCACACAAATTTTTATGTGAAAATCCAACCGTAAAAAACTACGGGACCTAGTCCAGATAAACACAATTCACTGTATGAAAAAAGGAGTTATATTTGACAGTTCCCACACCCTAGAGCCCTTAATTACCTCTTGACACAAACTAACGCCAAACTCTCCACACAAGTCTTAAGGTTGTTCGTCCGCTCATCAACAGACTTCACTCCTCACAAATCCACTTCTCTAGTAATTGTTCCCTTTCTGCTACGAAATTTGATTGGTTGATTTAAATCGGTTTGTCGAATTCCTCCTTGATGAACATTCAATCACATATAATGCTGTCTATGACCCTATGGAAACCCTAGACTAAGTAATTGGGAATTCTACGCTCTCAAGGATTTTCTCTCTAAATAATTAGAAACTTCAAAATTCATACCTAGACTAACCATACCCATATTTATAACCACTATAGGTAGCCCAGATGTTTTTTTAAGTTGAATCCTTGTAAAATCTATTTTGAAAGAGTCTCCAAAAATACAGGTCTGAAGGGTTTGATCAATCAACCCTTCATTCGACACCCTCAGAAGTTGCTTTGACCTATCGGCCATTGAATCGATGCTCTCAGTAATTCAACCCTTCAATTTCAGAAAGTTCATCGAGCGATCAGCCTATCAATGGAAAAAAACAAAAATAAAATTCCTATCGATGGATGGCCTTGATCTATCGACTGATGTACTACTGTTCAGTTCAAAATGCAGTTTTGAAGAATGATTAAATCCTATAACTTTGAAATGCCATTTTTCAAAAACACATTTAGAATAAAATTGTAAGCCCCACCGCGATCAATCTAGGTCATATAAGGTTTTCTATGGTCAATTTACCTGCACCCTAGATATTTGATTGAGGATGTGGATTTATTGTCAGGTTCTTTGCGAAACTGTTTCTGCCTCGTCTTCAACAGCTATACTCGAATGACTCAAGGCATTTTGACACATTACAACCAAAGTTTTTGGTAGGAGATCTCCAACACATGACTCAAATATGTAACACTACATTATTTTTGAGTGGAAATGGAAAATAGAAACAACAGAAAACCAGTATAGCAAGCAAAAATAATCAAACCTCTAAACCTGGGATCCAAGGGATTTTTCTGCGCAAGATAGCTTCCAGGACAAGCTGGGAGAATTGAACTATCCAAGAACCCAGACAAATTGTTCCAAGAAGTAAAGCCCATTCAGCCATATTGTGAGCTTCTCGCTTTGAAGCCCACTGAACTTAATCCATTTGTGTATGATCTTATGTCTGAAATGACATTTCAATGCAACAACATTGATATTAAGGTAAGTGTAACTTCTTTTCTTTTTTTTCTAAATGAAGGAAAGTATTATAAATATAAACAATATAGTACAATAGAGAAATGAGGGCATACCTTAAACCACCCCAAAGACCCCTACAAGAGGGACAAAAGAAAGCCAAGGACAAACCCTTGGAAAGCATAAACAAAATCCGAAAACAGAAATGATATCTTGAAGGCATACCCTCAAGATATCCATAACCTCCCACAGAATACATTTCACCAAATCTTTTGGAGCTCTTTGTCTCTCATTATGAACTCTTATCTATTCTCTCCATCCATATGAAATACAAAGAAGCAGTGAAACACATCCGAAACAGTTTGTGCTTGAAAGTCCTAGTTGCATACTGCTGATAGAAGACCTGGGCAAAGTCCAGAATTGAATCACACCTATGAATGTCCCACTGGCAATTATCCGACATACCAGACCACACCTGCCAAGTATAGTCACAGCTGCAAAACAGATGGTCACCAGTCTACACTCTGCCTACACGAAAAACAGACTGAAGCAAGATAAATTCCTCTTTTCTGAAGATAGGAACTGGTCAGAATAGCATTTTGAAGGACCAGAACAGCATGTATAGACCACCTAGGCCTTCCACCATTCCAACATAACTCAGACCAGAATATCTCTGGTTTCTTCTCTCTGCAAGCCTCCCAAAACTGTTTGAAAGAAACCTGTGAAGACCGCCACATTAATTGATCTGCACCCCAATGAATCTTGTACCCCTGAAAATAGGTCAACACATCTTGAGTATCATCATCAAACTTAGAATCATACCAATGCTGATCCACAATAAACTCACTCAAAGACACCACTTTTTTTCTATGTATACATCTCAGCCTTCTTTGAGGAAATATCTCTGTAAGAAGTTTGCCCTCACACCATGGATCCAAGAACAAATGGACATTCTAACCATTTCCAATTCTGTACCTGCAATTCAGTTTCACAATATCTCTGACAGCAGCAATACTCTTCCAAATTGAGGAATAAGAATCCCTAGGTACCACATGCCAGTAGGATGCCTTATTTAGATAGCAATTCTTAAACCAAGCTACCCATAATCTGTCCTTGGACATAAGAAAGTCCCAGGCCAGAGAGCATTTTGAAGCTGTATCCACATCAACAATTCTCCTCAAACCAAAACCACCTTCAGCTCTAGGAGCAGCCAATTTCTTCTAGTTCAAACCATGGAGCTTATGATTGTTATCATCATGACCCCAAATGTAATGACCCGGTCATTTTCCTTCCTTTTCTTTTTCCTGAAATTTTACGGATGAATTTTTTCCGTTTAGCTTTCTTTTCCGAGTTCTGTTTCTTGTCATTTAGTGTCATCTCGAGTGCTTGGAATTGGTTTTTGAGACTCTTTCGTTCGGATTGACAACTTCCTTTGAGGACCGAGTCATTTCCGCATTTTTCGTTTTTCGACACTTCACTTTTCGTCCTTTTCCCTCTTTCGTCTTTTTCCCTATTTCGTCTTTTCCCCGTTTGTCACTTTGTTGGCATAGCCTCACTTTTCATGCTCGAAGTTGGTTTTTGACTTCACGTGCCTTCATTTTAAGTAGTTTCCAGGAAATACGTATCTTTACTTTTGCGGTAAAGTACTTCGGTTGCTCCTGGTGTCCATAGGGGCATGGATGCACAGTTCTTCAAAATCTTTTTATTTTCTTGGGGTGTTTTTCGTAAATATCTTTTGAAGATATTTTATTTCAGGGGTTTTTAAGAAAATATTTTTGGAAGATATTTTCATTCTGGGTCATTAGTGCAGTTTTTACTTTTTGGAAGGGCCATTGTGCAATTAATGAAAGTTATTGCAAAATACCTCGTCTGGAGCCTAGATCCTCGTACGGGATTCATTTTCACATTTCGTCGAGTCGTGTACTCTTAGAATTTCCTTCTGGTCGTTTTTCTTCAATTTCAGGGTTTCTGGTCCCGGTTGCCGCCGAACTTGTTCGGGGCATAACTTTCTGTTCGGGACTCGGTTTTCGACGCCGTTTTTTCCGTTGTTCATATTTTCTCATTTTGAACCTTTTTCGTTCACGGATTTTTTCCGTTTGAGCGCGTTTGCTCAAATTTCACTTTTCCGGACCTGGCGGGGCTCTTTCGGGACGCTTTTAGGGTTTTCCTATAAATAGAAAGTCTTAAAGTGAAAAATCACTTTTCTCTTCATCTTCCTCCCTCTTTAGCCGGCAGCCATGGGAGCTCCTTGGGCTGCCACCCTTTCTTCTCCTCCTCCACTTGATTTCCTTGGTAGAAAGTCTTCGGCCTTAACATTTATCGTAGGCCTCGACGTGCTCTACCTTTTCCCCTTATTAGAACCCATTTTTGGCCAAATTTTGAGTTCGGATTTGAAGTCAAGTTGTGATTTTCATGGGGCTTTCTTGGGATTCTTGTTCATCGTGTTGTCCCCGACAAAACCCCGAAGTCTCATCGAATTCGGAGCACTTTTCTTTCGGTGGGCTTTTGAGATTTTCATCTCAAATTGAGGTAGGGGGTGTCTTAGGTTTATATTAATGTTGTATTGATGATTTTAGAAGTTTATACAACTTGTATGCATGCTTTGGTTTAAGTTCTAGAATTTAATTTAATAAATTTCTATAGTTAAAATTTAATTCTCATGATGATGTATAACTTAGAATTAAATTGTGGCATGCTAGAAAATTAAGCTTTGATATGGTTGTTCACATATATTAAATTGGGATAATTTGAATGAGAATTGCAACTTTTAATTAATATTTATCTTTGGTGAAAGTTTAATTTACATAGATGTAACTTGCATGAAATAAGCTTGTGATGTGAGATTTCAGTAGGCCTTGACATGTTCCCCTAACATATGTGAATTTGAAAGCATTTGGACAAGTTTAAAAATTTAGAGATTTTAATTAAAAGAATTAATTAAAATCTATTTAAT